GTTCAATCCCCCAGCACCACATGCCAGCCAGCCCCGCCCCCTGGTGGGCTGGGCTGGTCACACACACACAAAATAAATAAATAAATAAATAAATATAAATAAAATAAAATAAAATAAAAGTTATCTATTTCCCAGAATCATACAAAAAGATATAATGGGCCTTGAGTTTTGAAATGAAAGGAGTAAGAGTATCTTGGTCATCTTCATCCACCTCATTAAACTGTTCTGTCAAGTGCCGGATGATCTCTGAGTTCGACATCTTCTTAAACATCTCAGGGGTCACAGTGCCTAAAGAATGGAGGAGATGAGGTAGTTGAAAGAAAAATAACAGGGCATTATGTTCATTCACAGACACACACTGAAAAGCACTTAAGTAAGGACTCAAAAGACCTGACCCAGTCCTCAGTATTCAAAGAAAGCATGTGGTAAAAAACTATGGCTTTAAAAAACCCCAAACTAATAAAAAAATAAAGAAAATAAACTAAATCAGTTGCCAGATTCTTACCAACAACCTCAACAACAACACTGGTCCATGAACTAAGCCATGGCATATAGAGATCTAGGAACTCCCTAGCTTCATAGGGAAACATATATGTGAAGAACCTAGTAAGAAATAAGTGGTATCTCATTTACAAAATACTAATGGGCATTTGATAGTTCATTTTCAAATTTGTGACTATTATCATTACAGAAGTATGATTGTTTTTCTCCAAGGCTCTTGCCTCACTATCAACACACTTCCCTACTAGACCACTTCTCTTATTTACTAAATAAAAACACTGTTAAGTGAAACTCTTATGCTTTACCTTCTTGCTTTATTTTGAAAATGTCTATAATCCTTCTTGTCTAAATAACATTTCATAACACAGGAATAAAAAGCTGGGGAAGAGAAAGGGGTAGTATTTCTTCACCTTTACATCCACAACATCGAATGAAAAAGTTAATAAGTTCAAGGAATCCTGCATCCTCATCTTGCTTGTAGCTTTCCAACCATTCATCTACCAAAGACTAGGGGAAAATGTGAATAATTAAAAATGATTCTGGAGGGCCCCCAAACAACTGCTAGAAGCAAATGCAGATTTGTCTCTTGGAAATCCACCTTTGACCCAGGCCCCAAAGAATTACAACACATACGGCTTCAGGAAATATGAGTGGGTCACAGTAAAACCTAGTGTAACATATAATTAAACAAGGCAATTAAAATTACAGAAACAGCAGAATCATATTCACAAATACTTTAGATGCTAAAGTTATCACAGATTATAGTTTAGCATGATTAAAGAGAAAAAAACCCTAAAAGAAACAAAAAAGCAACCAAATTTGAAAATTGTACAAATTTTGTTTTTATATAAAATATAAGACTTCAACAGCTGAAGTAAAAGCAGACTGCACGTGGAGATGAGTGAACTGGAAGCTGAATCGAAGCAAGTATCTAAAATACAGATAGAGGGCTGGTGAGATGGCTCAGTGGTCTAAAGCACCTACTTAGAACAAGCTT